TGCGGTTGACTGAGACTCTAACGATGTTCTCACTGAAGGACAAGGTACGTACGATCCTAGACAACGGTAATTAAGCTCATATATAGCGAGTTCATTTATATTGTATTAAAGTTCAATAAAGCAAAGACGATTTTCCTTTTTTGTTAGAGCAACGCTCGCTTTCACGGCGTTCCTAGGCCTAGGCAATTTTTTGATAACACTCCTTGTAAAGCCAGAGTTGTCGAGGCTTGAAAAAGAAAAATATGAATATATTTATTAAACTACAATTCTCGATATGGCACATCCCTTTTAATTGTGATTGTATTTTCAATGACTTTATGATACATCATAAAAATGCAATGATTGTTATATGCAATTAGAGAGAGAGAATCAGCAATTTTCAATTAAAAATTCTTATTAAAAGAAAACATTCTGAAAATCGAGAATAGGCCTAAGAAACCTTTCCATCTTTTAGTTAAAGGTTACAATCGTCAGTTAGTTCCGGATTTTCAGAATTGTTGGCTGTCTGCCATAAACTGTACATGAAAGGACTTCGCTAGACCCTTGCGGCAAACGACCCTCTGTCAGCTCTTTCAAACTTTTTGGTAGTTCTCGACGTATAGATCAAAAGTCACAATAGTTTGTTTGAATATTTTAATTTCGTTGTACAAAAAATTCTATGTACAAATAATGCGTGTGCGAAGATGCAGGAAGTAGCCCTAAAAATAGCAAAATGACACAAATTGCTGTTTCCAAGGATAATCAATATCGCGCCGCTAGACCTCGCATATAAAACGGAAGAGCGATAAGAGTTTGCAGAATTAATTAAAAATGTAGATCACTGTCGGCGTGACAATTCCTACACAGCACACACGTATCAGTGTGGTGCGTATTCCACCATCATCGTATCATTGTTGGCGTTCATATGTACGTAACAATAATAACCATGCAATGGCTTTTACAGATGACTGATGACATAATTTCTAATTTTTCTCGGTTTACAGCATCATTTGTTTACATTAATTCTCGCACATGTTAAGCCAATAAACTGCTGTTCATTTTTTCTTTTTCTTCAACTGGGTCATTATAGTTTACTGCTTTGCGTAATCGGCGTCAGTGTGTACAAGAAAATTTTATCACTAAATGTATAGGCGCGCTATAAAGCGACTCCAATTTATACAGGGCGTCCCGAATTGGAATAGTTTACAAACAAACAGCAACAGGTTCACATAAGTTCCCCATTTCCGGATAGCAACGTCAAAAATAACCGAGTTTAATTGTCTAATTTTAGTCAATAGAAACAGATTTGTTTTCCTTTAATTTTGTAATATATTTGGTAACTAAAGATGTTCGCTTAATGTTATAAAACTTTTTGGTTGTCATTCAAATCAGTTTCACTTATCATAAGTTCATTCAATATTATTCATCATTTTCAAACATTTGTAGGTCATGACATTGTGACGACCCCATTGCAAATATTATAATATTCGTTACCGATCCATAATATAAACATAAACGTATAGTTATACAGAAAATGTAGGTTTTTTAAAGATAGGCATTAAAAATGAATTTCTTCTCTTTTGATTTTATTTTCATTATGTTATGTCTGCCTAGATGAAGTCAGTAAATACATCTGGCCCTCGAAAACTAGAGAAAGTGTTACATGCCTTTTATGGAGATCGAGACCAAATTACATATTTTCAACAAGATGTTAATAAACGAATGAATACATTACATATTGTAACACCTGTAAAAGCTTTGACTACAGCGATTAAAAAAAGATTTATGTAGATTGTTATTAACGCATTTCTGGGTACGTTTTTCAGTAAAAAGCGAAGATGCGCTAGTAATTGTCAAGAATTGGGGCTCTAGACCAAAATCGCTCCACATTTTTTTCTGAGAGTTCCAATATTATATTTGATGCGGGAGAGACACATGTTTTCTTTATTGCAGCATACATCATAGGGTATATGGTATATGTATAGCTACTTNAATCCAGAATCACATTCTTGTGGTATTGTCTTCTTTATTTTAATATGGGCGTACAAATAAGACAAGTGTCTAATAACGGCATCGGTATGTTGTCAATGTGTATCAAAACACAAGTTTACAAAAACAAGTATAAGCCAGTACATGTATGCATATATGGTAGGTCATTATATAAAGTATACCCATACAAAAGACTTCGGTGCTCAGTTGCATAACTTCGAAAACAGGTCCGTCTGAATCTGAATGTGAGTCAGAAAAGTAAGTAGCAAGCAGACAAGGAAGGCTACAAGCCAGACCGGCAGAGATTTCAACTTTTAACTGGATGACGAGCGAGAGATACTAACCAGCATAGGTCTCGGTCGAACTCTCAACCAAGAAAACAACAAACGAACCAACCAAGAAACGCTACAACGACGTTTATGACCTGCTTGGTATTCCAGACGACTGTCGAAGAAACACTACGAAGATGCAGTTTCAAAATTCGCAACTAATAATAATAATAATAAAGGGGTGCCCAATATCCTTTCGCTTACCAGGTCAGATATTACGGTTGATGCAACCTCGACTTATGTCGCTCGCGATGGCGAACTTTTGCCCAAGGTCGCAGAACAACAACGCACTAGAAACTGGAAAAAAATTGACCAAAGCTCTAACTCCAAAATGAATTGCATAGTTATCTGGACAATATAAATATCTAACATACAAAGCTTTATAGTAAGTCATGGTCCAACAAGTCTTTGGGCTGAAGATGGATGATCTTGAGATTCTTCGTTTATAAAATCGACCTGTGTGGCTGACGACCCTAAACCTTTTGCCCAAAGTCACGAAACAGTAAAACAACAAATTTTTATTTTAAAATATATTGGTTAAATTACGGAAAATTACTTCAAATGGAAGGCCAAAGCTCCCATTCAAAGCCCATAACCGGCTAAGTTCATGATAGTGATGCTTAAAAATGTTAAAGGTCTTACGTAATAAGTTTTGTGAAACCCAATAAAATTGTATATGTATTTTATACATACATGTAAGTTTGATAACGTTTCTTTGGGAATTGGAGATGATTATGGAATTTGGAAATGTATGTCGCGTGTACGTAATGATTAGAACATATTTATAAAATATACAGATATGGACTAATAAACTTGAATTTGGGACGCCGAGGTCTTTCAAGATGGTTAATTTGCTAAAAATATTTTTATCACCTAGACGTTTCCGCTTGTGCAGGAAATGACATCAACTTTATAATTCTAACAATGTAAAATCTTTAATTGAAGCTCTTTGTTCTTGTTACGATTTTACGCAATGAAATTTGCAAAATCTGTAAATAATAACAATAAACATGCATAAAAAGAATTTTTTCGAATCTAGCATTGGTACGTTCGATTAATATAGTAAATGTATTTCCAATTGGGTTGCTACTGCAACGATAAATTTAAAAATAACTAGGGCAGTAACCTGCACTAATCTTATGGGCATACTTTATGGTAATTTTGTGGAGAACTTTACAATGTTGACCTAGTTTGCCAGTGTGATTTAATATGAACTCAGTGGAAATACGAAGTGTTCTCAAATAAAAAACACAATTAGTTTTTTTTTGTCTCTAAAGTTACTTTTAATTTTATTTTATATTGTTAAACTGTACTCTTAAAATGTAACTGCCTTTAGTTTGGAGATGCCCTGTTAAAAGGCGAAATGTACATCGGGTTTTAATAAATAAGTAAAATTTCTCCGAGTGTATTTAATAATATTTATATTGAATTAAGTTTTTGGCTTTCGGCCTTCAGGGCCAGTGTCATCTGAATAATGCAAGAAAGTTTCTCCTTTGGTGGAGTAGTTTATCCCAGTGAAAAGCTTTATGCCTTCGCTACGGATAAACGTTTCCATCGGTATTTTCACAGAAGGAAAAACAATTCTAGACATTAGCTATTCCGACTTTCGTTTTATACGTATAATCCTCAATTATTATGGCATATTCTCTAAATCGCCGTATGTTATTTATATAGATAATGCTCTTCCTAAACCAAAATGTTCTCTGGACTTACAGCGGATTGTATGCATCCACAATTGATAATAAAGTCATTGAACTAGTGCTATAATAGAAAATGCAATAAATTGCGATAATTCAGTTTAATATTTTTATCATGTCTCTATCTGACATTGACAACACTGATAAAGTTCGGAAAAGTATGCAAATATCTAGCAGCAACAAAAACCGCAAGACAGCAGTAAATAAATGTTCACCTTTCGTTCGTAACCATCTATCTATACATTTTATCAATTCGTTTGTTATTAATTAAAAGATTAATAAATAAATATCTAGATATTGACAATCAGCTTCATTAAGAAGTTGACTCTCCAACGCGCAAATTATTTTTCAATTTCAAGAGGTGCTTGCAGTTACTTATCCTATTTATTCGGACAGTTAAAGAGACAACCCTACTTTTTTTATCAGTAATATCAGTATTGATTTATCATTTTTTAAAACACACAAGCTTATATTTTATTACATAGGACCTAGCGAGAATACAATAAGAAATCTATATCTAAATTTGTACCATGTAGACACTTCCCTTTCCATTCAGTACTTCTTCAGGATAATAAAATCCTTTACTTTTGCCGGAAAATTTAAAGCGACATGTTGATGATAATGCTTCATTTATTTTAAACAATTTATAAACAAAAACAAATATTTTCTGGCACTTCAACAGAAACAAAATAGACAGTCAACAGAGGCGGAAATTTCGAAATCGTCGATTTGTTTTATGTTAAACACTAAATTGTTTTAAAGAATTAAGTTAAGAATACTAAAGTTTGTCAGAGAGTATTCATATTAATTCCAATTTTTTATTTCAACGAAAAAAAAACAATCAAATGAGCGGGAAATTCAAAAGCATAGACAGATTCATATTTGTATCGCAAGAGGGATGTTGGATAATCTTAAAGGATTCAACGGGAGATGTAAAGATCGTCTTCAGGTCTACATCAACAAAATTTTGAAAGGAAATACTATAAAATCTTATTAAAAAACTTACCGACGCTTCGTTTCCACTCACTAAAAATACGATCGCGATAGCCACGGCCGCCGTAAGCACGCGGCAACGTCGTTGCCGCAGCGGCATGGTTACTGTACCATGTTCTTCGTCTTGTCAGTAAGCTGACTTATCCCCACCCTAAAGAGCTTTCGGATTCCCAAAGTCTACGCGTTCTCAAATTACCCTATTAATTTTCACGAAAACTACCCCACATTAGTGGCTGGCATTAGGGATGGTGTGTTGTTTTTACAAAAGTGACCATCTGGTGTTGTTCGAAGGCGATTCTTTTCGATCCGATAATGACTTAAGTATGTTCTAAGTTAAGGCGCGTAGGATCTGGGAGGGGACCGAGGTACCAATCTGCCTTCCAGATCTTACAAACTTCGGAGGATCTTAGTGGCGCGCAAACACGCGTGTGATTTTGACATATAAGTTACGTGTTGTTTATCCAGCCCTGCGCTGGACGTAGGACGGCCGGGATGACCGGCCTGGGGTTGCGGTAAGTACTCATTTCCACATTTTCTTTCGTTTTCCACGTCTTTTTTCTGATTAATGATGTACAACGGACATTAAATTTTGAAAAGTCGTCTTCAGATGTCAAAGTTGTAAAAAAATTGTTATATTTTTTGTACATGTTTATTATTTAATATTTTTTTTTCTGTCATCTGCGGTCTTTTCTCTTATATATATTAAGTTTTCTTAATCTGCCGTATTTTATTATTGTCTTTCTTTGATTGTTAAAGATCTTTTCTCGTTTTTTTTTTTTTTTTA